GAGTGATAGCACCTAAAATTAAATCTTTATAATTCTTTCTCTATATGTAAGGTATTAACCAAAGAATATATGTCTTCACTCAACTTTAATCAATCAGTTATTAACATCTGTACTCTTTCTTGCAACTGTAACAAAAGCCTCATTTTTTTTATCCCAGCCACTTGAAAAGAATTTTGAAATTAAGAGTCTGGAAATCAAGCCAACCAAAGTCCTTATAAGTCAGAGAGGGCATCAGCATTCTGAGACTCTTCATTTGAAGAATGGCTCAGAAACTGGCTGAAGAAGGACAATCAGTATCTTCTCAAAAGAAGAGCTGGGCTTAATTGAAAGTTAAAATTTGTGAGTCCCAGTGTATCCCTCTGAGTTATGAGGCTGAGTGTAGTCAATAACAAGGGACTGCAAGACAACTATTTCCATACTATCTGTATACAAGCACACACTGTAGGCGTGAATAAGGGAGTAGTGTCTATCCCGTATTTCTAAGCTTGAAAAATGAAGCCCTGCAGATAAAACTGGAATTTATAAGAGGTGAGATAAATTTTCTGTCTATTCATTCGAAAGAGATTTCATGAGAAACACTTTATTATTCATTCAGTACCAACTTGGAAAAAAATCCATATGTACTTAAATGCCCTTTGCCTCAACACCAGAAAGCAAATGAGATTGTGTGAGGAAGCTGAAAGTTTCCAGGGAAGACTTTAAAGTGGGAGTTAGCATCAGAATGACACAGCTACTCTTGATGATCTTATTATATGTGAGGATAATCCCCTTGGATATTAATTCAACATTACCCTTAAACTACACCTGGCTTCCTCCAGCCACTGATGTAACTAGAATCCTGTAGCACATGGTTTATTGCCTAACTTCTCTCTCATTCACTTCCTCTACCGTGAATTCCATTCCAGGGAAGCTCCTTGACCAATATTCTACAAGATGATGATTTATATATTTTCTTAAAGTCCATTTGGCCTCTAAGACAAATATGAAACTTTTCAGCAGCACAAAACTTTTGCTCTTACCTCTCCCAAGGTCTGTGCCCTCTTCTTTCCTTTCCTTAGATGTTGGAGCCCATCTGGATTTTTCTCATTATTCTCCTATTTCTATATACATATGCAACCCACGGAATTCATACCATGATATCAGAAATCCAGTGGGCTCCTTTATCTATAAATCAAGACCAACATGAAGTGCGTACTTCAGACATGTTGCCTATGAGACACCTAGCCATCTGCATCTTCCACAGCTGGCTGAGTTCATCCTCCTTTTTCTCACCACAGTCATCCTCTTCTCAAATGTTCCCAACTAAAGGGACTCTAGCTTTGGCCAGTTGCTGAAGCCAGAAGCCTGGTGATGCTCCTGGCATCCTCCTGCTCCCCCAGTTTCCACAATCAAACATCAGAGCAGTTTTTTCTCCCCTCTAAAGTCTTCCTGCAGTTCAATATCTGCTCTCAATTCGAACCGCACTACCCTAGTCCAGGTTCTTCCAATTCACTTTGAATTACTCCTGACTGCTTTTCCATCTCTGCTGAGCTCTCCTAATCATCCCTCCAGCATGTGGCCAAAGCCCTTGTTTTTTTAAAACAGTCTTTGATGGCACACTTTCTTCACTCAAAATCATCCATCCATACATTTTCACAAGACTTAAGAAAGCATGACCAACAAAATACAGCTTAAAGCTCCATTTTAATATGGTCACTGTTAAATCTACCATTTTTAGCTCTAACGCCTTCCTCATCTCATCTCTCACCCTTTGCCTTCACAGTTTCATTCGAAATAAAATGTCTTAGACTGTCAATATTTCTAGAATGTCTGTGATCTTTTTAGTCAGGGACTTGCTATATAACCCAGGCTGGCCTTGAACTTGGGGTCCTCCTACCTTAGCCTTCCAAGTGCTAAGATTATAGGAGTTAACTACCATACTGGTTCCCCATCCTCTTTATTTAAAAAAGCCTTTATATAGAGGCTTGAAGAGAATATTGCGGCTTCAGAGCAGCCTGACTTGACTTTACCCCCTAAATCTAGACCTCCCATAAACGCAGAATGATTCTTGCACTTTTGTCTATCCTCCAATGCACTGTAGTCCACAGAGGGCAGTGCCTAGTCATTCCCTCGCTGCTTCTTCTACTTGTACAGTACCTGACGCAGTCCTAGACACTGCTCGAGTGGCCCCAGGTCTGCCTAGATACTCAGCGGAAACTGAATATCCCAGCTGGTGTGATATACACCAGGAATCATCCCAATGAATACAACAGCACAAGGAAGGCAGCCATCAAACCTGCTCGGCTTCTACCAGTTGCTGAGAGCTTGGAAGAGCTTCCTTTCACTCCTCTAAAAATGACACAGGGATATGAACACAGGTGTCAGTTGTCTAGTAGCAAAGCCACAGGAGGCTTGGATTACTCCCTGCTCCTTTTCCCTCTTCATTTTTTTGTTCCTTCCCTCCTGCTTCCTACGTACCATCTGGACTAGGACAGTCAGTTCAGGTTTTGTTTGGGCTCTGCTGATTCCCTCAGCCCCGCCCCCAGCCCCCAAAGACAACAACAGAGAACTAACCAAAAACATTTGTTACTTTAATGCACAAAACATTTAACCAATATTTAAAGGCCAGTGTTAGAGAATGCCTCCTTTTAGACAAAGACTTCATGAACTATCATCTGTCCCAGTAGGTGATCACTGACAGGAAGACTGTCAAAATTATCTACAAAATGACTGGACTTCCAGTCTCACAGAGAGAGACAGACAGAGAGACAGAGAGACAGACAGAAAGAGGGGTGAGAAGAAAAGGAGAGGCAGAGACAGAGAGAAGACAGAGATACAGAAAGAAACAGAGGGACAGACACAGTCAGAGATAGAGATAGACAGAGGGAGCTGGTAAGAAGAGAGAGAGGAGACAGACAGGAAGAGATAAACAGACAGAGACAGACAGAGTGATGAGAAGAAAGGGGAAGAGAATGGGAGAAAGAGAGGGACAGAGAGAGAAGACAGAGACACAGAAAGAGGCAGAAACAGACACAGAGTCAGAGGGAGGGGGTGAGAAGAGAGAGAGAGAAAGAAAAAGAGAGAGAGAGACTGCTCTTCTCTTGCTCTCTCTTGCTCTGCCTAGGGCTTTGCACCAAGTGCTGACTCTGCCTGCTGCAAACCCTGCCACATCAGCAGGGAGGGAACCCTGCAGCATTTGGTATTTGCATCAGTTACCAGGAATGCTTTACAAGTTATCAGTTCACTCTCCGCCCAGGGTAGAGGGTTTGTGAACTTATGTTTGAAACTTGGTTTTTCCAGTTCTCAAAAATCAACCAAGGGGCTTTTGCTTTCTTTCCTTTTTATTTATTTATTTATTTATTTATTTATTTATTTATTTATTCATTTATTTATTTATTTATTTATTTATTTATTTATATTTTTTTGAGTAAATTATCACACTTTCAAAGGATGTTCCTGTCTCTCAAATCAGTGTTTCCAACTGGATTAAAATAACTCTATTGAAATGTTTCGATATTCTCCTCTACTTCTAACTTCTTTTTCCTTTTAAATTTAGAAAGAGAAACCTTAGCTTATAGCAGCTGCTGATGGAGCTCCTGTACTTAGGCAGAAATTCTTCCGGACCGGAAAACAAAAAGGGCAGAGTGGGGCGGGGGATTGCGAGGGAGCCCACTCATTCCTGCTTCATGGACAAACAATTGGCCTAAAGGTGCTGTTTTTACGATGACTTCGGCGACAGAATGTGACTCTGAATAAGTCTCTGCAGCCTCTTGAGGGATGCTTGGGAGGCCAAAAGGAGCCTGGGGCCCCTGGGGGCTTGGAAGACATTCCAAGAGGCTTTGGGAAGAAGCGCTTACTACCACCATCCTGGAGAAGCAAAGTCTCCCGGTTCAACTTCAGAATCAAAGTTTTACCCCCAAGGCTTAGGGGAGTAGAGCCTTGTAGGAAGGCAAGGGATGGGGAAGGGGAGTGCGGGAGCGTTAACATCTGTTATGCAGGGGACAGTTTGGGGTGTTAAGGAAGAGGTTGAGTATACTCTAGGTGCCAAATAAGAAGTTTTAGCAATCCTCCCCACATTTTCTCCTAAGCAGGATGAGGAGAGGTGTGAGGATGAAGGAAGAGAGGTGCTTGGCAATGGCTGTGGGGGGGCGGGGGCTCATGAGTGGGCAGTAAGGCCAAGGGGGGCTTGGTGTTCACTGATTTGTTATCTGGTCCAGGCTCAGCGTGTGTCTGGTAATCCCGCCAGGGGTCTGTGGATAGGGAAAGGAAGACTTCCTAGTGGCTTGAGCAAATCAAAACAAATGTAGTGGGGGTGAGCAGAGAAAGAGAGAAAGCCAGAGACAGGGAGACAGAGACAAAGAGACAGACAGAGAGAGAGAGAGACGGAGACAGAGAGACAGAGACAAAGAGAGAGACAGAGAGAGAGATGGAGACAGAGACAAAGAGACAGAGAGACAGAGAGAATATGGGCACGCAAGCCCCAAAGCTGGAGAGAAATGGGGGAGGAGGGGGGCAGGGTGGCGTCCACCCGGGAAGGCAGCCCTAGACCTCGCCACGCCATCACCCTCCGCCTCTCGTGCCCCAGCCCCCTCCAGGCTGCAGATGGCCCTCAGGGCACAAGGTGAGGCAGGACTGGACAGCTCCTGCTTTTTCACCTTTGGCCTCCAGGACCCTCAACACCTGTCCCGCTGCTCCGAGATCGGTGAACTGTCCACGTCGGTGTCCTAAAAGTGGTTCCAAACTTGGCAAGGGCGGGAGAGGGCGGGTGGCTGGGGAGGGCGGAGGCATGCAGACAGGGAGTCAAAGTTTCCCCTCGAAAGCCTCAAAAGTGTCCACGTCCTCAAAAAGAATGGAACCAATTTAAGAAACCCCGTAGCCACGTCCCTCCCCCCTCGGCTCCCTCCCCGGCGCCCCCGCAGTCTCCTCCCAGCACTGAGGCCCGGGCCCCTGGCCCCAGCCCTCCCATTGGTGGAGAGCTTTTTGGAGGCACCCTCGGGCTAAGGAAACTTTTGCCATATAAA